TCCTCTTTGCCACGCATACATTCTACACGCATTTAAGTATGTAAGACTAGGATGTTCATATATTGTTTCGGACAAATGAGCCTACTATATTTGAATTCAGTTTTACTTTTTGTTCATAATGTTAGTAAATCCTAATTGGATAAGATTGGGTAGCTGTATTAAATGCCTAATCATGTACAGATGGATTAGCACTACTGCTAGATTAGTTAATATTGCTACCCCTCTTTTCAGGTACATTGCTTGTTTTAGAATAGATTAAATTTCTGGAGAGGATGGTTCCTTTGCAAACTGACAAAACAGCAACAGTTATGTTTGTCTATGAAAAATCTTTCCTATTGTATTTAAGTGCTTTGCTGAACAGCACTTCTTTGAAGATAGCATTCCTCATAAAAGCATATGGTTATTTACATTTCAGAGTGTCATTGTAGGAAGTCATATGTGTTGCCCTTATGCTATATCAGATTTATTTATGGTGTTTGCTGCAGTCTTTCTACTTGAAGCTGGTAGTCTACAGATTGTCTTAGTTTTATGTTGTAAAAATGTATAATTGCATAGTGAATAATAATCCTGTGCATGTGTTAGTAATTTTGCTGTTAGATTTATGTTGTGGACTTGATATTAATCTGGTTTTCTCATTGTGCCTGTTTTGCATAGTCACCTCTGTGAGTACAACCTGGCATCATTCAGTAGATGCACAGCAATTTGTGTTGCTACTTGTGGGATGATTCTTTGGGGGAGACAATCACATAGTTGGGGAAGTTTTATTCAGCCAATTAACTGCATTGAATCTCTTGCTTACTGTGGTTTGAGAACTACCTTTTTAAAAACTCACTAATATATTGAAATCTGAATTACATTGGTCTTTGTCATTCTTCAGCATAAGAATGAGTAACAGTTCAGGAAAACAGTGTTGATAAAATTGTAAAATTTATGAAGGAAAAATGGCTTTTATAGTAAACCCTTAATGTAAAGGTTTTTGTACAGTGAGAGGTCTTTATTGCTGTTAAGGTTTGAAATAACATGTCTGTATGTATTGCAACCTATAAATTTGCAGACTTCAGGCAGAACAAACAAAATAATTTTATTTCAGAAAATAAAATATGATCCTGAATAACTTCATAACTATAATCCTGTTTATTAAGCAAATCAATACATTTTCATTGTATGTGCCCACAGCACAGATTAATAAGTTTAAATTGCTAGTATACCTACTAAACTAACTGAATGACTAGAGAATATTCAGCCACATGTAGACGAAGAAGAGAAGAGATTGGATTTATACCCCGCCCTTCACTACCCAAAGGAGTCTTGGAGCACCTTACAAACTCCTTTCCCTTCCCCTCCGCACAACAGACACCCTGTGAGGTAGGTGGGGCTGAGAGAACTCCGACAGAAACTGCTCTTTTTCAAGAACAGCTGTGCCAGAATTATGGCTTGCCCAAGGTCATCCAGCCAGGTGCAAGTGGAGGAGTGGGGAATCATACTCTGTTCTCCCAGATTAGAGTCCGCTCACTTAACCACTACACCAAACTGGCTGAATGTATTTCCCTTCCAAAAATCCAATACTGAGTGCCATTGAATATTATGGTTGGGCAGAGGGGTATAAAGTTGCATTAGTTTTTGTCATGGCTCAGTGTGAACATTTACAGGATTGTAATTTTACAACATATAAAAGGAAAAATGTTCACATTTATAGCAAAACTGAATTTAGATATGTTTAAACACAGTAGTAAACTTAAATGGACACACAGCACTGGCTTGCATCTACAGCAGAACCTCTCCTAAAAAAACAGGACTCCCCCATCTCCTTGTGCCCTCTAAAAGGATATTCCCTAACGGTATAGGATGGGGGGAAAGGTATGCAACTGGGAAGAGAGTTGGTGGAGACTAGTTATACTCCCCTCCTCCTTTCTGCTCCTTTGGTTTTAACCCATTGTTGCATTAATATAATTGAAACATTAAATGATGTGCTAAAAGGGTATAATTTGGATGTTAGCTTCATTTGAGAGAGGTTTTTATATGGGATTTTAGTTAACAATTACGAATAAATGTAGAAGTTAGTGAATAAAGTCAAAGAAACAGCTTTTGTTCAGAGGTGGTAATGAAGTTTAGGAACTGCAGGTGGACATTAGGGTTGCATGAGTCATCTTCCTTGGCCTTCCAGAGATTTTCCCTGCCTAATAGTGTTTGGCATCACATGTTGTCATCACCAACCAGAGGCTGTTCCTAAATTCATTTTGTCCTGAATTTAATTCTGACAGTGAATGAAGGAACCTTAAAAGGGTTTGCTTAATCAGGTTGACAGTGATCTCTTAGAAGCTGATGCAGATAGAGAATGGAAGGAGAACTGGCGTGAGATTGAGGGGGAGGGAGCATGTGGTCCTGCTCCTAGTCATGGACTGTTGCTGAATCTTTACCAAACTGTACTGAAAGTCCTTGGTGGTTAGTATCAAGGGTTATTTAGGTACTTAAATTAACTGCTGTGGTTGCACATCATCCTGACAATTCAAAAGAGATTCTGGTTTGGATGTTACAATTTTTAAATTGCATACTGCTCTAGAGAAAGATGCACATTGCAAAATCTGCTGTTTATGAACATGTGATGCAGATTTATCATGCAAGTTTTAGAAGGCATATTTTTGTATGTGAGGTGATAAGGAAGTCCAACTCCAGAATTTCATTAAAACTGTGTTGTCACTGATACATCCCAATAATTTTGATGGAAATGTTGGGGGATATCACTGAGCAGCAGTAAGCTTGTACATCTGTATTTAGGAAACTGTTATTATAAATCATTGCAGAACATTTCTGTTTATGAGCAATAGTTATAGCCATTTTATTACAAACATTACACCATTTTACCACAATCCATAAAATATGAACGCTGAGTTGTAGGGCTTATAGATTCCCTACAGTAGAAAATAGCAAGTCTGCATTCACTAATCAATGTATGTTGAAATAGTTTTAAAGAACAATGTATGTTCAACTACTCATTAACCTCTGGGAGTCTGTCTGCATAATGAAATCTTAAACTTGGCAGTCCTTAAAAATATGTGTGCGCTATCATGGATAAAAGCCACTATTTATTCATAATATATATCATGGTTCTTTCATTCATTTTCTTCCTGTACAATACCCTTTTAGAGATAGTAAATGCCAGTTGAAAATGCTGTTTCAAAAGCTTCAGGTTCTAATATGCAGTCTTGCAGCTGTCATTTAACTCCTCTGAAACATTAAGAAAACCGTGCTGGTGCAGTCCTGTCTCTCAATTGACCATTGACTAGAATGCGCCTTCCTTATTACATGGGCTTAGGCAAATTTGGCTGTGCCAAAAGGAAGTCTAGCTTCCTTCATCAAAATGAATGAACCGGTTTCCTGCTCCTGCATATTGGTGGCATTTGTTATATAGTATATAATTTTATTTATTTATTTATTGAATTTATACCCTGCCCTCCCCACTGAAGCAGGCTCAATGTATATATTGAGTGATGGGGAAAGAAACAAATTCAGGAATTCTCGTATCTAAACAATGTTAGGAGTGGCTTTATGACAGCTGCATACTTATTTAAGTTTTGAAATTGCTCATCCGTATGTCTGCATTTGAAATGATTTATTGATGTGTGTACTTTTGCAAATAGTTTGAGTACAAAATTCTTCACAAAGTTTTGAAAATCATCTGCTTTGCAGTTATATTCCACAGCTTAATTCTAGGCCCATTACTTGAAAGTAGGTTCCATTGGGTTCACAGTGTCTAACGTCTGAGCAGGAGTATTTAGAGTTGCAGTTTAATGTTGCAAGGCTAAGCATTAAACAGCTTAATGCTACAAAGCTTGAATTTCAGTATTATTGAAATTACTGGAACTTGCTTTCAAGTGAAGTTAAAATTAAGATGTGTATATGTAAAGTTAGTCCAGTAATATTTATGCTTTTCCTGTAATTTTTAGGAGTAGGTGGTTCTTCCAGTGGATGAATTAATGTTTAAAGAAAAGCAGACTTGACTAGAATTAATCTTTCTCCCTTCCTCTTCAGCTTAGTTATTGTATCTGTATGTTAAACATTTTACATGGCTCCATACCTTAAGCAATAATGTGATTGCTGTAACTAAACAAGCATTTCTAAGTATAGACAACTTAAAAATAACTATGTGCATGTGCCTGGGATCCCTGACACATGTACACAGGTGTTTGAAGATGCAGGTATGTTAAGTGTATGCTGAAGGAAACTCCAATTGTTCCTTCAGCAGTATTACTCTTGTACTGAAGAGTGGACGTACTCTTGATCTCACTTGCTATAATGTTTTTATGAATGGGGAAGCTCAACTGGTTGGTCTCTTGTGAGCAAGGAGCAGCTGGATAAGGATTAATGTATTTAGGACTGAGGTGTTAATTTAAAAAATGATATTATTAGAGCTGGTTCATATTAGAGCTGAGTGACAGCAACTTCTAAACTGTCCAGATGGAAACTGGCTATCTGAAAGTCCTGTTCATACAATGAACTAAACCATTTAGCCATAACTCCCTCGCTGTTCCACATTTGTGGAAATTCATATGAACGAGCTCTGGATTGCCTGTAATTTCACTTTCTAGTTTTTATATGGATGAGGGGGTAATATTGATTTCTTTCAAGTTATCTTAGTTTAAAAACACTTTAAAAAAACCAAATGTGGTTTCTGAAAACAGTGTAACAAATTATTCTTAGCTTACTTTTTTTGTGATTTTTTTAATACAAAGAAAATGTTCTGTTAATTATTTCCCAGAACATTAGATGTTTGTGATTTCTAGTGGTTAAGTGGTATTCTGCACTGCTGTAAATGAATGGTTCTAAAAGTGTCCTGGAATAATTGTAGTTTGATTATTGGGCAAGTAGATGCTTTGTCTATGTTGTTAGACTCCATTACACTGAAATAGATGCACAATTTGTATATGTGTAGTTAAACCAACAATTTTTGCTTACTGTGGGACCTAGCAAAAATCTACATCACAAATTTTGACACATTACAGCTGATGGAAGAGGAACACCTCAACAGATAAGAAACTTCATGGAAAGAGGCTTGTCCAGCAGTTTGCTTCATGTGATCGATCAGAGCCTGTAAAGATTCATGGATAAAATGAACAGGAATAGATCTGAATAAGGCAAATCTGCATACATGGTAACCAGTAGCTCTCTTACATTTTTATGTTGCTTAGCTGTTTTATTTGAAGGAACCTGTGTGATTTAAAATGTATAGCTTCTTGCAACTTTATTACTGGTTATATACGTTTGAAAATTAAAATGTGCAAGCAATGGAAAAAAGTCAAGTAAATGCTTGTTTTTATAGTAGTTGGTTCTTGTTTAAATGTTCATATGATAATGTCTGTAAAGAGCACCAAATTGATTACAGTAGATGTAGTGTTGTAATAAACTGTTTAATGGGGCTGATGTGTAAAGCTGTTCAAGTTATTTGATGTTTACACCTCAGGGAGTGTCTTGTGTTCAGCAATATTTAATGGTGTTGTCTCTAACAAAACATTGCATATTTTTTGCATATGCATCAACCTATTGTATCAGAATAACTGGCATTTGTGTCCAACACCTACTAGAGTAGTAGTTCCTTTTTTTAAAAAAAATGTAGTTTTCTTGCATAGATGGCTTGTGAATTCACTGAAAAGTGTGTGAAACTGTAAAAACTGTAGATTAACATTTTCTAATCCAAATGGACTGAACTTTCTTTCAAGGAACTGAAGTCTGAAATTGAGTTCTAGTATGCAGCTGCCTGTTTATTACAATATGCAACACTAAAAAGTTCATTCAAACATACAGTTGGAAAAATAATTGGCCATTTGCAAATGATGCGGCAGTGTTTTACACATTTCCCAGTGCTTTACCTGCTGTCACAGGCAAATTTGTATATAATTATACATTGGTAAAAATGACCGAAAAAAACAAATGTCCCCCCCCCTTTTTTTAAAAAAAAATAATCAAGATTTCTAATAGGCTTAGTTTTTGTTTAGGTACAAAACTAGCACTCACAACTGTGTAAGGGAAAAATAGATTTTGAATGTGCTCCTTAACACACGAAGACATGATGCTTTTAGTGGTTGGGATTTTGCAGGTTTTTCCTAAATAGATTGTTAAAAGTTGGGTGAAATGTCTGTTCTATGCCATAACATAACTAAAGAAAACCTTCTGGCTTCTAAATTATGGACAGTTAATACCATATATTTGATTAAAAAGTTGCTTGTTTGCAAACTAATTGAAATGTACTCATTGGAAAAATGCTTTCAAAAATTCCCAGGTTTTGCTAGTACAAAAAAGTTTTATAATTATTTCAAGGCATCAGTTTATAAAAAAAATTATTTCTCTACAATTCATATAGTTACAGGAACTGAATCTACAGTTTAGAGTTAACTTTAAATGAATAATCATGGTCTGTAAAAACAACTGAGGTACGTAATATTTACTCAAGACATGAAGGAAGGCATTTCATAAACTTTGTTGCACAAAACTTGAGTTTGCTATTAAGTATACTTGACAGGGAACTGTAACCAATCCCACCTTCTTTGCAAGTTTATGATAGATGTGTTTCCACAAAACATTTGTCTCAGTCACAGTCTTCAAAACCTATTTAAGTGTGTAACTAGAAACAGTAGGTTAGGTTCCTTAAGAACTGTAAACAGAGTTATGCTTGTGAAATGAGGGTTCTCTCCTTCTAACTGTAGCCCTTGCAGCTCCCAAAAAGCTCACCCTTGAGAGCTGGGAAACCCTCCTCATGATGTTTAGGGCAGTGCAGGTGTCTGCAGCTGAGGGCAGTGGCTAGAGACACAGGGAACACAGACACACATCCTTTTCATATGCACATGGAAGAGCTTTCCACTCATGCTATGACATCACTGGACCCAGGAAAAGAAGAGATACACAGTACCAGAGATTGCAAAAAGGCACAGAGCTTGTTTGTATGAATAACAAAGTTAGAGTCCAGTGGCACCTTTAAGACCAAGAAATTTTTATTCAAAGAACCGAGCGTGTCATTCTTTTGAGCTGTTTAAAATATTTTCACTATTTTGCATGTAATTTAACAAGCCACCCCTATATATACAACCATGATATGTAATTCCATTTCATTATCTGAGGAAGTGTGCATGCACATGAAAGCTCACATCTTGAATAAAAATTTGTTTGTCTTAAAGGTGCCCCACTGGACTCTAACTTTGTTGCATTGCTTCAGACCAACACGGCTGCCCACCTTGGTCTGTATTAATAACAGTTACAGCAAAAAATCCAAAATTTGTATTCTAGAATACAAGTTTGTAAATCAACGATAACTTCTGTGAAAAATAGCAGAAAGTGTTAACAGTGAAGCAGGTCAATGTATAAACAACGTAAGCAGTCAGTGTATGAACAATATAAGCAGTGACGGTTCACAGACTGATTGTCCTGTTTTGATATCTTCTTCAGAACTACTTTGCTATATCTAGTATGTGGCCTTGTTAATCTGTAAGAAACAGAAAACCAACAGTTACAACCGAAGTGCTATATACATGTTTACACATTCCACCAAAAGAATTATGAAACTTCCTGTTTCTATCAGTCATTAGAAAAGTAATTACTATGCATGAAATAAAAATCTGTAACAAAGTAAAATAGAGACCAGTTAATGGGATTACATATACAAAAAAAGAAATATATGAAAAAACCAGGAAAAGTTAAGGAACTTGCTATATGAGTCCATAAAGCCACGGATTCAAATTTGCATATGCAGCCTTGATAACAATGAGGCCATAAGTAAGAGCCAGTTGCATCAGCCAAACTTATATATGGGTTGGGGGTCCACCCTTAAAGGGCCAGCAGAACCTACAAAGATAACATATCCCATTGACACAGGTTGATATGAGGAAGAACCCAACTAAATGCAATGTCCCAAATTATACAAAAGCAGACAAATCCAAATGGTCATTACGGCCATGTGGAGATAGTGAGTTCAAAGTAAAAATCTCTCTAATCATTATTTATCTGTGTTTTGAGATCGATAGGGCCTAGGTTGTATCTTGTCAGTAACCAAAAATTTAAAATCAGTGGGTTGATTATGCCTTTCCATAAAATGGAAAGAAGCATGAAGATTGCAATTCCTGATCTTGCTATAGTGTTCAGAGAAACTGTTTCTCAAAGGACATGTAGAGAATCTGTTTCTCAAAGTACATATAAGAGATTACAGGGCAGATTAGAATATAAACACAGGAGGATAAACAATTAGAAAAATGGTTTAATGCAAAAACCTTTTTAGTGGAAGGATGAATAAAAGTTTTTGTTTGAATTGCCTGCACACAGTCAGCAGATCCATTACATTTGTAATGACCCTTCAAAATAGGCATAGTGTTTGCAGTTTTAGGACCAGCTTGTACAAGTAGATCCTTAATAGACTGAGATTTCTTAAATCTAATAATAAATTTTGTTTCACAAGATGGAATGCTAGTGTCTAGTAATGATAGTCTTAATCTGCAAGGCAAGTGGAGAAAATTGCAATGAAAAAAATACTAAACTATCGTCATTACACTTGGAATGATGTGTAAATAAATACTTCCTAGGTTTACTGTTGGCATGGTTCCTAGCTGATGTAACAACTCTGATAGGCTATCCACATTGAAATTTCTGAACTAAGGTCTCCACTTCAGCACAATACACAGAGGCAGATGTAGTGCTGCATTTAATGTGTAAAAAGGAGCTGTAAGGAAGATTTCTAATTAACCATGGTGGATGAAAACTTGCATAGAATTCATATCTGTAGGTTTCATATACGGCATAACTTGTAATCATCCTTCATACACATAAACACGTGTATCTAGGAAACAAATCTGGCAGGGGTCACAGGCATGTGAAAATGTAATGTAATAGTCGGATGCAGATTATTCAACCACTCCATGGCATTGTACCTTTTTGTAACCTCTGGTACTGTGTACCTCTTCCAGTTTTCAAAGGGGTCTCCCGCTTCTTTCCATCATTGGACCCAGGCCATAATGTGTAAAATGACCCTGAGTGCATGCTTTTGCTACAGTTGGGAACCCTCAAATTGCTCTCAGAAGGCTGTGTCTCTTATACAACTAAAGGCTTCTATAATTGCAATTATCAGCCTTCCCCCCCCCCTCCCCCACAGCTCAGGCAATTCAGTTGGTTTACCCAGTTTCTGACCATTGTGTTTTCCTGAATTGTGTACCTGGTGTGTGAATTGTTCAGTATTTGAACATCTTAAATGATTAACCTTTTAATATGAAACTGCTTTTTGATTTTTGTATGCTTGGAGTCCAGTCCTGCTTTGTGAATAGGTTATGTTGATTTATCACTCTTAGAATGTGAAGATTAACTTCTTGTAAGAATTCTGTTTGGGGATGGATTTTGCAATTTGCTAAATAAGGATGAAAATTCCTGAACTCACTTTAGCCTCTGGCCTGTTTATGCACTGAAGGATGTCCGGAAGCTGAAATGAATCAAAGACAAAATCAGGAACTCGTGGTTCACCTATTTTTTTTACCCTGGGATAAATGATGATGCATGTTTAAGCATTTCTTCTTTGTAACAGGTGGCTGGGACTGCAGAGGTCCCTAGAGTAATTGGAATTACTCAAGATAATCAGCAAATAGGACATAGATGAAATGTCCTGGAATTGTTTATCCATTTAGACTAGGTGATTGTCCCAACTTTGAGAAGTCCACTGTGGTATTGCTTCTGATTATTGCTGGGTGTGTGTGTGATGGCAAAAGAACCTGGATTAAGGTGCTAAAACCTGAAGAAACTAGAGGTAAGTTAGATGTGTATATGGAGTGAAGTTTTTATTTGGACAATAGCTTCAAATATTCAGGAACCAAAATTAAAAATTTAAACCATAATTTAGTTTTCTGTAACTTACATGTTAGCACTGAACAAGGGAGATACTTTTGGCTACAAATTATTCTACATTTTCTCTTCAAGAGATTTACCATTGCTGGCAATGGGTCTGCCCAAAAAATCTTATAAATGATTTTTGGTAGTTTTTTGATATTTGCAGGCTGAACTTTTATAACAAGTATAGTACTAAGTAATCCTGATTAGCTGTCTTTGGAATGATGTTTTTCAATACTTTTTTAAAGTCCAAAGATTTTTTAAGCACAGAGAAGAAAATGTCAGAAGAAGGCATTCCACTTATGATTAGGTCTTGAAAAAAATCTTAATACCTCCAAACTAGTAAACATTGCTAAGAAATTTCCTGAGTTCCATTAGGAGAACTCAGACATACATGAGACAATATCAGACATACATGAGACAATAAACTAAAATCTGGGAAATACCTTGGCTGCTACTGAATTGTATGTTGATAAATTGTATTTAATTTGCTTCTGTTAGGGGCAATAACTTGCAAGAAAGTATCCAATAGTGCTGTATATAGGTATTCATAAGTAAAAATAATAGCATTTTATGGGCTGTTGTGTTTTTTTAATTCTATATTAAGTTATGATACTAATTGCTGGGGTGTTTCTAGGGGAAAAAGCAGTTTCAAATTGATTACTAGAGAAGGGTGTGCTGCCTTCTGCTTTCATTCCCATTTTTAACTGTTT